GACTGCAGGGTTGGGGACACAGTGATCATAGGGTGGGTTCCCCCTGGTCACTTCTCCCTCCAGGACCCCCCAGCACCCTCAGGGCCCCCCCGGGCTCTCACAGATGCCAGGTGTGGCGCAGGTGAGGGAGCCGTCCTCGGGCACCAGGTGCGCGTTGTAGCGCTGGTTGGGATAGACCTCGGCCATGTCGCCCGCGCGCTGCCGCTCCCCCACCTTGGTCTTCAGGTAGATCCCGAAACCCACGTCGGCTCCCTCGGACCTGAACTGCCACCTGGAAGAGCCCGCGGTGGGATGAGGGACACCCAGTGACGTGCGTGTGTCTGTGTGTGTGTGTCTGTGTATCTGTGTGTGTATCCGTGTGTCTGTCTGTCTGTGTGTGTGCCTGTGTGTGTGTGTCTGTGCCTGTGTCTGTGTGCGTATCTCTGTGTGTCTGTGTCTGTGCGTGTGTCTCTGTGCGTGTCTGTGTGTCTGTGTCTGTGTGTCTGTGTCTGTGTGTCTGTGTCTGTGTGTCTGTGTCTCTGTGTCTGGGTGTCTGTGTCTGTGTGTCTGTGTCTGTGTGTCTGTGTCTGTGTCTCTGTATCTCTGTGTGTCTGTCTCTGTGCGTGTCTGTGTCTCTGTATCTGTGTGTCTGTATCTCTGTGTGTCTGTATCTCTGTGTGTCTGTATCTCTGTGTGTCTGTATCTCTGTGTGTCTGTATCTCTGTGTGTCTGTATCTGTGTGTGTCTGTATCTGTGTGTCTGTGTCTCTGTGTCTGTCTGTGTCTGTGTGTGTCTGTATCTGTGTGTCTGTGTGTGTGTACCTGTGTGTGTGTCCCTGCCGAGCCCCCGCCCACCTGAGGACGCAGCCCGGGAAGAGGATCTCGTGCTCCACCTGGTGGGACGAGCCGCGATTCACCACCACCGTGTGCTCGTACTGCTGCGCCAGCTGGTCCCGCACGTAGTAGCTCTGCGGCACGTCCCCTCCGTAGTTGATCTGGAAGGTGATGGAGATGGGACAGGGGGATGGGTACAGCTCTACCTGTGTGCCCCCCCCCTCCCCCCAAGGAGCCCAGGGTGGGGGACTCCCCAACCTTGCTGGGGCACTTGGGGTTCCCGTCGGGGTCGGTCATGGTGCCCCCGTACTCCACCGGGATCTGCTCGGGGTCAATGTACTGCTGCAGGACCTCCTTCCAGTTGGCTGGTGGGGTGGAGGACAGTGGGCTTGGGAGGGGACTGGGACCCCTGCCGGGACCCCCAGTCCAGCCAGGGAACACCCCTCCCAAGATTGGGGGATCACCCCCAGGTGGGGTGAAAGCAGAGGGGCTCAGGACTCACATCCCAGGACCACGACCTTCTTGCGGGTGTCCTCGCTCAGGAAGTGCTTGACGAGGTTGTAGGCTACGGGGAAG